ATGGGAGCAGGAAAAGCCCCTTGTGAGAAACACGCATTAAATAAAGGAAGCTGCAGGACTCACTCTGTCAGTCACCGCGAGCTGATCCTGGTGTGGGGATAAAGTTTAAAAAGAAAAAAAGATGTTTCCTTGTTCTGCTGCTCTGGAGATTGCACTGGCACTACCTCGTTGGTAAAGGAAATAAGGATATACTCATTCAGGGAATGTAAGTGTCATGTCGCTTTTAACAAGGTCTCAGGCAGAGGGTAAGAGAATTCTAGTCAAGAGGCTGGACAGCCCTGGTGTTGGAGACCCAATCGTTATGACTGGGGCATTATGACTGGAATGTTGATATTCAACAAAAAGTAGCTATTTAAATGGAAAAAAAAAAAATCCTTCTGACCCTTTCTCTGCCTCCTCAAGCAAAGCCTTCAGCAATCCATTTCCAGGGTCCTCTAGTCGCTTGCTCAACAAGCATTACGTCCAAGCCCAGACCAGGCAGTGTGTTTATTCCTGCTGGTGGGCTGGTCTCGGGAACCACATCCTCACTGCTGGGAAATGGCCTCAAATCCCATGCTTTACCCAGCCTGCATCACGTCAGACATCACCGGAAAGAGAATAGATGTTTGTGCCGAGGGCCCACCTATTATTAGAAACACCTGTGGGACACACCACTTACATTGTTTCTTTATGACCACGAAATCCCAATTTCTAGACTGAGTAAATGTGTCAGACCCATATACCTGGAGGACAGAGGGGGGGGGTGTTCTGGTCTCTGTATGTTCACACTACACAACCTTCTTTTCAAGCCTCACCCCCTGAGTGGAGTGGTGCAGATAGCCCTGGCCTTTCTCTGTTCGCTCTGTGACAGTGGCCTACTAATATCCTCTCCATCCCCAAACTTTAAGAGACTTTCCCAGAGCTGGTCTTAAAAATATTTCTTCGAAAATGATCGAAGGCAACAAAGGTTCCTATTGAGACACAAAAATCTGTTGGCGGTTTCAGAATGAGTTAAATAACATGATGAGAAGCAAAAAAGAGGCTAGTTTTCACATTAAATTTTTACAAGTAACCTAAGTACCCCTTCCTATGTTTCAATATTCCCCTAGATACTATTGTTCTCCATAATCACTGTATATGCTTTAATAAGACATGACATGAGCGAGCAGGTCTTAAAATGTTTGTGGGTTCCCAATACAAAAAAACACAAACAAAACAAAAAAAAAACCCTTCTAATGTTTCAATTGACCCCACTAAAGTTATACGGACCTTTTACTCAATGACAGAATGAAAACCCTCTTAAAATTGGGCAATATGTCTAAATAAATATTTCCCCCAAGAGAACAGAAATGGCCCAGAAGTGCATGAGAAGTTGTGCAACATCACAGCCATCAGGGAAATGTAAATCAAAACCACAATGACACACCATTTTCCATCTGCCAGCACCGGTGTCATCAGTACACAGCAAGCACATGCAGAAATGTGCGACAATTAGAACTACTCACAAATGTGTATAGCAGCGTTATTCAAAACACTGACTGGTGCAAATGGCCCAGATGTACATTAACCAACAAAAAGCAAACGAGATGTGGACAATAGTGTATTATCCACAGATAAAAGGAACAAGGCGTGTGGTATGTGGATGAACTCGAAACATTAAAAAAAAAAAAAATGTCCAGCAGCAAGGTGATGGGCACAGTAGACAGGTTTGTCTGCTAAAATAGCTAGGAAATAGGGACAATGAGGGGCCGAAGAAAATCACCCACAACCACGACAGCTGTAGAACACTGGGTCACTGCAGGGCCCTGAACTGTCAAATGGAAAAGTTCATCTGTAGCAATGATCCTTTGCCGGTGTTGTCCATCTCCTCAGGGCAGTGTGCATAGAGATCGGAGAGCTGCTTTCTCCACCAGACAAGACAGGATCATGTCTAGAAAACTCAGCAGCCTTTATAGCAGGTTGTATATTTTATATCATTTCTGTCTATCAATCAGTGCTAGATTTCTAAAGCTGCATGCTGTACAAAAGAAGCTATGTATACTTAGAATGAAAATTCTTATAGGATATATCAGAAAGATACATCATGTGTGCAATCATAGGGAATATGATCACATGCAAAAAGATCTAGATGTTCCAACTAATATGGAAACTGATGCTATACATCACTGCTCATAAGCCAGAAAGAAATTTAAATAAATAGGATTTATCCCATGGTGAGTAATCCATGAGAAGGTTTGGCTATCTTTATCCACCCAGCGGACATGCCCAGTAAGAGTTACACCAAGTCTTGGCATCTCGAATGTAAGTTCTCCCAAACTTGATCCAGGGAGACCTCCTCTGGAAATATGAGAGAAGTTCAGTCTCAAGTTCAAACATCAGGCTGTGCACTGCACAAACAATTCCAAGACAGAAAACATATCTTTTAAAATACCTTAGAATCTTTGTGTCTCACTTGCATGAGACAGTTGTCAAAGGCATCAAGTCAGCCATACTTTATGAAGTGTTGGAAGAGAAATTCTCCTCAGAAATCATTTTCTTTTTAATGGAATGCTAATTGCTTGGGTCAGATCCATACAGCCTGATTTATCTTGCTTGGAAACAAACACTTCAGAAAAAGATCTGTTACAAAATGAACCACTGGTAATGAAAAACAGTACAGCTAACAGCCCTCAGAGGACAGATTCCGTACAGTGATGACTCCAACCACACTTTGTGATTTAACGGTTATCTTAGTAACTTTTACTAACATCAACTCCATATTTTAACACAGGACCATAGCAATACAAAGAGAATATGCTTATGCAGAGAGCATTGCGGCAACCTCTAATGAATGGGCTACCTTAAATCAACCTCATTCATATTTGACATCTATGATCAGATCCATGGTGGATGATACGGATCCAAAGAGACGCTAAAGGAAGTGGGTGTGTGCCTGCAGGAGAGACGGAGCATCATGAAGATGGGAATAAGCTTAAAATGATTACTGGTAGCATTAGCTTACTGAAAGTTCAAAGGATCGTACGTTCACTGGCTCTTTCATGGCTGAGGAAAAGATCTGGTCACCGTGGGCAAGGGCATGGGCCAGGCCTTCCGACAGGAATTGCTGCTGGTGTAGCAGACACAGCTCCATCCTGGGAGAGCTAATAGGCCTATGCAGTTGAGGCAGGGTCAAGGTAGGAAATTCTGTGGAGGTTTCCAGCAATATCATGGTAGGTGGTGAAACCCAGGGCAGAATTGGGAGTGAGGACTTGGAGCCCAGGTCAGTTTGTAGGGTGCTTGCCTAGCATGCAGGAGGTTCTGGGTTTGACTCCCGGAACTTCAAAAACCAGGTGTGCCAGCACATGCCTGTGACTGAGCCCTTAGGGAAATCAAGGCAGGGTGACCAGGAGTCAGGCCATACTTGGGTATATAGTAAGCTTGACGCCAGCCTGAATCCATGGGAACGCCCCGAGAGAAAGAAGGAACAAGGGGGAAAGGAAGACGCAGAAGATGCTATTAATTTTAAAGAAACGCACATATACGCACAAAGAAAATCAGTTATAACATCGCACCAGCCAAGACTTAAAGCACAAAATCTTAAACCCAGTTTGTCCTTGAGTTCTATGTAGCCAACTATTTAGAGAATTTGGATACAACTGATGAAGGAATAATAAGATGACTTCCACAGAAACACATGTGACCGTGAGTCCCTGGCAGGGGAGGGGATTCTCCTTAGTTCTTTGGGGTCCTGGAAGGTTATATGAGGCTTAATGCTGCTTTCTAAAACCAACTTTTCCCTACCGGGCCATCCCCGTTTGTGTGCGCGCGTGCATGGGTAAGTATTGCCCAGGCTGCTCATCCTACGTCCTCCTGTGGCTACGACACTGGTCACTGTCAGAAGTCACACGGTGCTGACAAATGCAACCTAAATAATTTGGACAGCTTATCAAGGCTCTGCAACCAAGAAGAAAGCCTCGGACTTTAAAACCCGTGCTTTCTGATTCCCTAACAGTTTTCAATCCCGGATAGCCAAAAGTCCCAGGTCACTTTTTGTGTCTCAAGGGAAGCAAAGCAGTGAATCAGGAAGAGGCTGAGTTCATTTGGCAAATGCAGTAGTCTGCTTACAAAACCCACAGTTTATAGATATCCTACCTCTATACCGCAGTCATCGAGAGTCCTAAGGTTTTCTTAAACAAAACACATTTCACCTTCTTTCACTTAGAAATTAAACAATATAAATACAGTGTGTCACTGCAGTAAAAAAAAAAAAGGGGGGGGGAGAAGAAATAAAATGTTTAAAAAAAAAACCTGCCCTGCTTGTGAGTTCTACCTCACACCCAGGCAATAATGCGTTTAGCATTTAGGTGTACATGATGGGCAAGGCTTCGGGAACTCAGCAGTGAGAAATGTCTGTAGCTATGTTTTAATGTGATCACTTCTTAGTCTGAAGTAAGAATACTACCAACAGATCTCCCTGGTAAGTGTGTAAGAACAAAGTGGCCAGTGGGTGAAGACACAGTGTTTACTTTGATGCTTTTAAGTCACTGAGGATAGATGCTGGCAGAACCGAGCACAAATGAAATGGGTTTTTGCGAAACAGTCCGTAAAAATTAAAGTGCTCTAATTAATTGAACTTTATAACTTTCCATAGCAGAACTATAATGATAATAAATGCTATCATGATAAAAACGTACTGGGACTATAAAATGCAATTAGTTCACTAATACATTTACATAACTCTATAAAGGGTTTCCATTTAGTGTGGGACCTCTACTGTTTGAATATCAATTAAAATTCACCCCAAGTCAAAGCGCCCTGAGGCGCTGGGTAGAGCCATAGAGAATACCGCGACTCTGGATGGTAATGTTAATTTCTTTAACTAAAATCTCTCCTTTAAAAAACAATTGAGTTCTCAGTGGAAGCCTACCCCACAGCTCTCCTTCCTAGTCCACAGGCAGAGGCACTTGACTTGCTGAAAGGCTGTTGCCTCTTCCTCCATTCCCCTCCATTCCCACCAGCCCTCTGGGCAGGGAAGTACTTACTTCCTTTCTTCCAGCAAGGCGATCTCCTTTTTGACCTCATGGTACTCCTCTGCTATTTGGCAGTGCTGTTTAAACACCTGCATGGATTCTACGGAGTCGTGACAAGGTGGCAGAGGCTGCACAAACAAGGAGAAGCATCAGTCCATCGCATCAGAGAGCCGCACTAACAATGAACGCGGCACAGAATGGGCGACCTCTATTTGAGGGAACCTAGAGAGAGGCGAGGTGATCATGCTGACAAGGACTATCCTGTGACATTCATGGGCATCTCGTCCCAGAGCCCCGAGACCTGGTGCACGTCGGCTACCTGCCGTGTGTGAGTGAAAAGTAAGTTTCCCATTGATTTGTGGTTCTCCTTGGAAATTGTAAACTGGCTTAGAAAAGACCAGGGGAAATACTCCTGTTGTTTGTTTCAATGTCTCATTTTGTCTACGCCCATGATCCTGAGGCACAAGCCCAGAACAGCCCTCTTCTGAGAAGCGGCTCCGCTCAGAGACAGGCTGGAGGGTATGGAGGACCAGACCCCTAAGTCCTGCTTGTCACACAAGAGGTTGAACAGAGAACAGATTTGTATCCCATCTTCCCTGCCATGGATGAGGAAAATAGGTCCATGCATCACACTTTTCTACATATAACAGGGAAAAGAATCCCTAACTCCAGAAATTATTTTTAACTAAAGCTGCCATGAGTTTTTTTGTTCTTATTTCCACATTAGTAACGTGTGATTGAAAACACTACTATCTGGAAACATCTGTAAATCCAACTCCAGGGGAGTCAACACCCTCTTATGCCCTCTGTGGGCACTGTACTCATATGGTTCATGGCATACGTATTCAGGCAAAATACCCATACACATAAAATAAAAAAGCGAAAATAAAAACCAGAAACAAACAAACAAACAAAACCACTACTGTTTGGAATGGTAGTTACTTGTCTTTTAAAGAGTTTTTTAAATCACCCCCTAGTTACTTATGGAAAAAGATCTCAAATCTGAGAAGCATGGAAGTTTGTTACTGAACAAGTTCTTTGGTCTTATCTGTCACTGTGATCTATGTAGGTAAACTGTGTCTGACTAGGTACGACTCTGGCTCACTTATACTAGTAAAGTGTGAACGGATGGATTTCTTATCTTAAGCTCCTATTGGTAAAGTGTAAACAGATGGATTTCTTATCTTACTATTTGCTCCTATATTCTTCAAAAGCACACAGATTTCTTTAGGTGTCATATTTACTCAGTAAGTAACAGCAATCCAATAAACTGTGTACTCTGGGTGATAGCTAAGAGGATCCTTCTCACTCAAGGAAGCGAAATTCTAAATAGACATATGCATTATTGACACGTCACACTGAACGTTGTTAATATGCACGATGAATACATAATAATCATAGTAAGTTCCACAATGTTCTCCAATTCTGATTAGGACAAACTTTACATTTGTGTGAAATCCTCCTTGTCACTTAACTCGTGTGGAATCTAATAATCACTTTTTGTAATGTCTTTCCCTGGGCCCCTATGGGCACGTTCACATCATCAACCCAGCTGGCTGTAACTGCTACACTTTTTAATACAGAAATAATTGGAAAAGCAGAACACAGTAGTATGACAATATAATTCACCCCAGGGGATGAAGTTGTTGCCAAAGGAATTCAGAACTCCCGGCTCCTCCAGCCCGTGTCCCAGAAATCTCAATCCCTTTTCACCTGTTACCCTGGCAGGCTACCAGGTTGTCACAGTGAGTGGAATGAAAGTAACATACCCCAGGCTCCCGAGCCAAGCTTTTAAATCATCTGTGCCCTGTTAAAGGACTTGGCTACTGGCAGCCATGAGATTGCACATGCCATCCTGCTCTCATGAACGCCACATAAGCCATATTTGTTCAAGCATGATCCAGCACGTCGATTGCCACTGCGAAGTCTGTGCACTGCAAATATAGCAGCTGCCTAATGTCATAGTCAAAAGAGTCTAAGGTTCTGCACAAAAGGCTCTGCACGTCTGGGAGATTAGAGACGACAGCAGTCAAGGCAGCAATGTCCTTTCTGCTCTGCTTCAAGAAGAAAACTGGGGGCTGGAGAGATGGCTCTGAGGTTGAGAGCACTGGCTCTCAACTTCCCGAGGTCCTGAGTTCAGTTCCCACCAACCACATGGTCTGGTGCCCTCTCCTGGTGTGCAGGCAAATATGCAGACAGAACACTGTATACATAAAGAATTGATATTTTAAAAGGAGGAGGAGGAAGAGGAGGAGGAGAAGAAGAAAATCACAAGTACACTTCCTTGTGTGACAGTTCCTCTTTGCTTTGCACCTTGCAATTCTTTTAAATAACTGGGATTTTACCCCCTGCCCCATGGCTTTGGTTTTATTTTTTAATCTTATGAGTACATGTGTTTTGCTCATGTGTTTATTTGTGAACCACATGCATGCAATGCCTGACAAGCCAGAAGGTGCTGGATCCCCTGGAACCCGAGCTACAGACTGTTCTGAGCTACCATGTGGATGCTGGGAATCAAACTCCCATCCTCTGGGGGAGCAGCCACTGTTCTGAAGTGCTGAGCCATTTCTCCAGCCTCTTTCCTTCTGATTTTATTTGCACTTTAGCGTGCTACCACTAAGTGACATCTTGAGGCCTTTTGCATTTTTTTTTTTTTTTTGGACTCGCACAAACTAGCCTTGAGTTCATGCATTATGTCTCCCAGTGAAACCTGTCTCCTCAAACTTCAGCTCTCAAGCAGCTGGGATTACAGGCGTCCACCACTGCATCTGGCTAACTAGCATCTTTTAATTGTAGAAATTAGATATTGTATTTTAGAAGAAGGAGGAGGCCTGTGGGAGAGAGGAAGAGGAACAGGTAAGGATAGTAGAAGGAATATAATCAAAGCACTATGTACACAGATGAAAATGCTATAATGAACTATTTTAAATGATTTTTTTTCCCCTAGGCAGTGAGGTCATGTGGAACTAGCTGGGCGGCTGAACTGTACACTCGGAATTGTTGTCCGTGGTGATGCAAAGACAGTTTTCTATGAGTCGGTTCCCTCTCTCTACCTATCCAAGCTGCTTTCCTCCTGGAGTCTGCTGGCTGAGTCTCACTTCATTTCTACTCAGTCTCTTTTTGTCTGCCCTGACCCTTTTACCCGTGAACTTCACATTTCTCACCACTTTAAAATTTCACCACAAATGCTGGGCAAACCAAAAACATTTACTGGCCAGCAGAACCGACTGTCATCTGGAAACGCTAGACATTTATCCCAGCCCAGAAAATTCACTGAAGAATGTGTTGACATGCATCCGGTTTGCATCCTGGAAAGAATTCCAATCAGTGACAGTTTTATAACTACAGCAATCCAGGATAATGATGCGCTGCCCTGAGCCTCCTACTACTCGTTGCCATTTTCTTTTTTACAAACAGGTTCTCATGTCACCAAGTTGGCCTTGAACTGACCTTGTAGCTGAGGGTGACCGTGAATGTCTGATCTCCCTACCCCTACCTCTCTGTGCCACCACACCTGGTGTGACAACAAGCTTGGGGTGTGCAATACTGGAGATTAAACCTGGCGCTCTCTTATGCAAGCAGGGTACCAACTGAGCTCCAACCCCAGCCCCTCTAATGCCCTGTATAATACTACTGTTAGAGCCCCACAGCCGGTAGCTCTCTTTGGCCTTCTCAGGGTTAAAAGAGAAAGGGGCGTGACCAGCAGGGTTCACTAAATTAAAATTCTGCCTGAGGAAATACATCCCTAGTATCCAAGCATACGCATATGACGTACAGTTTAAAAACCGAGCCACCAACTCTCAGTTGAGAGCCATCCCACACCAAGGCGGGAAGATGGTATCTGCCAGAAAAGAAGATGAAAAAGTCTCTGGAGCTGACCAATTCCAAGTTCCAATTTGTCATGAAAACTGGAAGTTCATGACTCTGAGGATGAGCAGATGGAGGAGAGTGAGATTGCTCATCCTTGCCAACTGCCCAGCTTTGAGGAACTCTGAAATAGAATATGATGCTGTGTTGGCCAAAACTGGTATCTGTCACTACAGTGGCAGGGATACCGAACCAAACATCGAGTGTGGGAATACCATAGAATGAGCACCCCGGCTGCCATTAGACACATGTCAGCACAGGCTGGAGAAACGTAAACCAGGGATGTTTCTAGTGAAAACTTACTAGAGCTTGTTTAAAAACAAATGAATATCCAAAATTTAAAACAAAAACAGAACTACCAGTAGGTTTAAATAATGGAGCCTATAATTGGGTTTTTTTTAATCCTGCTTAACATACGCTCAAATTGAAAACTAAATATAATCTACAAGAATTCCTGGAAGAGCTGGACAAGAAAACCCACTAACTCTGGGGAATAGAAGTAACCGTTTCTGCCAGGTACGGTGCACACCTACAGTCCCAGGACTTGAAGGTCAGAGAACCAAAACTTCAACAGTTACCCTTGTGTACTTACTGGGCTCAGCGCGAAACAACAATTAAGAAAAATAATACCGCTTTTATTGCCAGCACTTGATTTAAAGTGTTAGTGGTAAGCCGACTTCCTGGAGTGTTTTCCTCTTCCATGAGGAGGAGGAACTTCCCTGTTACCCTCTTTACCATTTCCTACACTTTGATGCATTTAGTCCACCCTCTCCTCAAAGGGATGAGGCTGCATTCCAAAGGAACCCCAAAATAGTGAACAATGAAAAGGTACAGATATTCTTCCCAGCATCCTAGAGCCCGAGCGACCAGCAGCAGAGCCCATGCCTAGCATTTGGGAGGCCTGGGTTCCACCTCCATGGCCCTCACCTCCACCACCACCCCCAACCAACAGCAATTGTTTAGGATTCTAGAACATAGCTGCTGTGTTATCACAGAAACTGCTTCTTGGTCTCACTCCTCATGGAAGTCTCTTACTGGAGTCTGAAACAGGTAAATAAAGATGTTCTCCCAGCCTTGCTTCAAGACAGCTTTGAAATACTGGTTCCCAAGGCACGATTGGAGCTTGGATGAGGTCAGACAGAGCCCCCGGAGGGGGGGGAGCAGTCACTTCCTCTTCACCCCCTGTCCTGAGAGAACTGAGCTTGCAAAGGCTTTAAATTACACCCCAGAGTCAGAGTCGGGGCAACTGTCACAGCCTCTGGGACCTAGCCCGATCACCAGGACTAATTTAACACGATGAAGTAAGAGAGAAACCAAACCACAGGCTCCTGTTCCAAGAATGCGGCTTGAACATCTCAGCCATCAGTTCACGGCCTCCAGAAGTGTATTCCATCCTCTGGAAATGAGCCCGTGAGAAAGCATGCGGCCAATCCCTCAGCAAGGGGCAAAGCCGGCTTAAGCGTTTCCGTTTTGTGCTTGGCTACTTCAGAAACTACTGGCCCTGTCCACTTCAACAATGCAAGAACTGAATTCTCCTACCCCAGCTTCCCACACAGAAGATATATTTAGGAAGCCAAACATTCTACAGTGGTTGAGTGGACTTTGTATTTATTCCCTGATTCTCAGCATTACCTATGGGGGGGGGGGGGAGAACAGAGGTTACATTCCACTTCAGTGCCTGTCAAAATTAACAAGCAACGTCTGCTAAGTCTAAGAGGAGAAACCTAGTCCAGGCTGGAGGAAGGAGGATCTTAGAGTACATTTAATTATGGTCACTTGGATTTTATTATTTTAAGTCGTTAAAGGTTTGAAATAATATTATAGTAACAGCCACTTCTACAACATACAGCATGATCCTAGTGAGTGCTGGAATTTATACAGCTCGGTGTAAAACACATTTATGTCCTTTCTGTTGACCCAGAGAATATAAAAGCGCAAAGTAACTCAAGAATTCTGAGACTTTTCCCACAAGGTACAGCCTATTCACCAAGCTTTCAAAAACCTACTTCGGCAAGGCTCCTAAGTATCTATCTATATATGTTCTCTGAAGTCCGCTTGGCAATGTGTGGCCAAGAGAGAACATGTTGGCTGCTTTCAGTGACCCCCTCTCCCAGTCCCCCCCAGCTTTCCTGTCCTTAGTTCCAAGAGGGTATTAAAGGTATCATGGTAGAAGAATCCAGGAATGCTGGGCTCACTTGTCTTTCGGCATTTTCATTTCCCAGGTGTCGAGTGATATACTGAGGAAAGTACTAAAAGAAGTTTCTGGAGAGGCTGCCCGGATATCAGTATGCTGATACTCAAGGGAAACTGAAATAGTCTATTTGTAGAGGTGACATCAGATTGTTGTGGACTTACTGGACCCTGTCTGAGAAAAGGCGAGTTCAGTGTGTACCACAGAGACACCTGTCACCGCCATCCCATCAGAGGAGAGGACGAAGGCTTTGAAGCTATTGCTCAATTTAGTTTTATTTTAAAGCAGGTCATTGTTTTCCAAATGCCTGGGCCTGATGAAGAGATCATCCAAAGGAATCCAGAGGCATGCATGCATGCATCTTTGGGTTTGCTTTACACATATAAAAATAAGTCACTTAACCTTAAATCTTTTGTCCAATCAAGAATTTCACCAAGGAAGACTATTTATGTTTACTGAGCAATTTTTTTTCAAGGACTTCATTAGCCCTCCTTAGTACATCTGTCATTCCTATCACAGTGTGGGGTAGCTATTGTTAACTCCAGGTACTGGCTGATGAGAGTGATTGTTTGGGAGTGCAAGCTTTGAGTTAAACTATAGTGACCAAAACATAACTCTTCTACTTGGGCTATAGCATTGGCCTTGCCCTGGACCATGGAAGAATTCCATCATCTTTCCAGACACAGAAAAGACAGAAGTCCATCAACACTGTTCTAAATAGAAGAAAACCACCTTTCCCTAAAGTAATATGTTTTCATTCACTCTCCAAGTGGACATCGAATACCTCCTTTTATTTCCTGCCCATATAATCTAAACCTGCTGTACCAAATATTGCTCCTGATACCCACAAGGGGTTTGGAGTGTAAAATTAGCCCCCCACCCTTCCTTCTGCAGGGCCTAGAAATGAACATTGTAATGTTCATTTAATTCCACCTTACCCTGAGGTCCCTGACCCAGAATTTTGCATTAATAGAGACATCAAGAGAAAGGTTTGTCATTGCTATTCTTGCCCAGGGCTTTTTTTGGCTTCTGTGAAAATAGAAGCATCACGAATTACATGTTCAAACACGTCCACATTCTTGGCAAAGCAACAGAAAAATCTTGGGGGTCAAATCCGTGTTGGAGTATCTACCAGATAGATGCTTTATAGCTACACTTTATAAATTACCAAGGAATGTGCAGTGGCCATCAGAAAGTCCCAGCAAGTTTTACAAGGCGGCTCAAGAACCACATCATGGTAACCTTGCCAACCAGAAACAAAACAAAGCTCAACTTATCGAACTAATTTAAACAGCCATGTGCTCCGCAAAGAGGACTAAGAGAAAGATCAGCAAATGGATTTACACCAAATTTTGACCTCAAGTTTCTCCCGTATAAAGTGAAAGCAGAACAGCTAGTTTCTATAATTATTGTGAGAACCAGGGGAGACAACATGAAGGAAAATGGCCGTTGCCTGCTTCAGTGTCAATGTCTAGCGGTGGGCTTCACCTGGGGTTTGCAGAGAGAGCTGGTAGTAATGGCTGGCACTGTTTGCTCTCTGCTTGCTGAGTTTCTAAGTCTCCTGCACAGTGACATCCACAAGGCTCCTCTTTCTTACTGGTGTTTGTTTTTCCACAGTGGATTATGACAGTCAGTAAAATAAAAATTACAAGATAGAAGCACCCAAGTCTAATTGTAAGGAAGGCCTCTTCCATGTAAAAAAGACAGTTCCTTTTGCACATAAAGCAGTTTCATTGCTGTTAATGTGGGACTTCCTGATGTAGAATGGCTTTGTGTGTGTGTGTGTGTGTGTGTGTGTGTGTGCTCTTGCATGCATGTGTACAGGAGACAGGTGCATAAATGGACATTATAATCAGAGGACAACTTGTTGGAGTCGGTTCTCTCCTTCACCCTACAGGCCCTGGTTTGGTGGTGTCTTTGGCTGCTAAATTATCTTAACAGGCTGCACACAGAGCCTTCTTCTAACTGTGGAGCCCCAGAACAGGAAGATCAGAGCAGTCGTTAGTGAGCCCGAAGACATTTTGTGAAGGCAGTAAGTAGATTTGCTGAGTGCTCTGAGACACTGCTGGGGGGGGGGGCATATTGACTCAGGAAGAGCTTGAAGTAATAAAGCTGATGCTATAGAGGATTTACTAATGCACCTGCTTAGGAAATATTAAGTTAACCAGAGTTGAATCTCTCTAAGGCTCACCGCCTGTGTGGAGCACAGAGGAACAGGAAGATGTAACTGATGGCTTGGGGATGGCATCCTTGGGATTACAGCACCATTCCATGATAGCTGTGTGGGTATCATACTACCTTCCCGCTTGCTATGCGGGACCTTACACAGACTGGCTACTGAAAGGGAGTGAGGCCGGCCCACACCTGAGTTGTTCTGTGTTGGTTCTGAGGTACCTCCCCAGCAGCTAGGAGAAGTGACTGCTCTTCTAGAGGACCCAGGCTCGCAACCATCTGTAACTGAAGTTCCAAGAGATCTGACAATGCTGGGCTCAAAGGAGGTACACACACAGTCAGGCGTGTAGGCAGAAACCCTGTAGCATAAATGTTTAAATTTAAAACCTCCTTTGCCTAATGCCAGAATATGCCATCTAAAGAAACTAAAAGTAAACGAACATCTTTAGAAAGAAAGTTCTGCCCAGGCGGTAGTGACACACCTTTAATCCCAGCACTCAGGAAGCAGAGACAGGTGGGTCTCATGAGCTCAGCCTGGTCTACAGAGCCAGTGTCAAGACAGTCAAGGTTACACAGAGAAACCTTGTCTCAAAACAAAAAAAAAAAAAAAAAAAAAAAAAAAGAAAGAAAGAAAGAAAGAAAAGAAAGAAAGAAAGAAAGAAAAAGAACAGAAGAAAAAAAGAAAGAAAAGAAAAAACAAAACAAACAAAAAAAAAGAAAGAAAAGAAAAAGAAATATTCCATGTGTTCTACTGATGTGGTCTCCTGGAATGACCTTTTCATATGTCATCTAGAAACTATTTCCTCATAGGCTGAACCAACGCTTTTCTGAAGGTCTATGTTCTATGAGAGCAGCGGCTCTCAACCTCCTTAATGCTATAACCCTTTAATACAGCTCCTCATGCTGTGACGCCCCATCCATAAAATTATTTCATCTGCAATTTTCCCACTGTTATGAATCCTAATATAAACATCTGATATGCAGGGTATCTGATATGTGACCCCAAAGGGGTTGTGACCCACAGGCTGAGAACCACTACACAGGAAGTTGTCATAGAACCAGGAAAGAAGCAAGTAGCAGGGGAAAAAATAGTATTCCAAAGACTTGGCAATATGACAAATTTTCTCTGCAAGGTCTAATACTCAATCATTAACCCAAAATGGACCTAAAGTCCAATGGCCCAGAGACACTGTGGGAAAGGAAGGTGGAAGTTCCAGCTACTTAACTCTGAGCATTTGAAGTCCAAGGATCACAGCTGGGTAACCAGGGCCATTCCCTAGCTGCTGCTATCTGACCTTGGAGCTCCACAATATCAATGTTTTTGTCTTAGAAGCCCTCTGCCCTTTGTATCAATCCACCTTTCCCACCTAGCCGCTTCCTGGCTCACTATTTGTGGCACTACAGAAAAGCAGGCATATGTTTGCAGAAACCTTACCTGGAGCTGTTGCTCTAGCTCTGGGAAGACCAAAGGGATGGCATCTTCAGATGGTGTATCATCTAAAACACGAAAACACAACGGTTACCCAGCATGCCTTGTGTCTCATTAGCATCGCCCTTCATTATCTGTGCACACGGAGGCACATCGAGCTTAGCTGGCCTGACACAGAGCTTTGAAGAGGGAGAGGGAGAGAGGCAGAGGACTAATTTGTGTCCTTAAATGTCTAGTCCGGTAACTCTCCAATTGAAAAGGGCTACTTAGTACTATCACATTAGCCCAAACCAAAAGATGTGATATGCTTGAACGTGCCTTAACAAGGTGCTCACAGGGCAACCAGAACGTCAATGGGGACAAACAGCAGCCTGGCTTAGAGAGTTTCACCCCTTACTCTTAGCTTTACAGACCACCATTTACAAGCATCTCTCCAGGGTTCAGTGGAGCAGCCAGCAGCCCAAACAGGGAATCTCTCCCCAGAGTGTCAGGCCTGGAGCAGAATCCACAGCAGTGTCTCCAAACAAACCTGAGCCCACACAACTGTGGCACCTCTATCTTCAGTGGCCTAGACATTCCCTCAGACAAACACAGAAGCATCTTAATTAACCATAAGCAGCTCCTGCCCCTTCTAAGGATGTCCGTGGAAGCCTGTGAGGAAGCCTGGCAGAAATGTTGCCTCAGATAGTCATTACTCCAAATTTCTTCAAGAACAGGATGCTAATCCATCCTTGGTGGTTTGTTAAGCAAGATCCGTCTGTCTAGAGAACTGTGGCTCCGTAGGGACACCTGCTATTCATTTCCAAACCCTTCCCCAGCACATGCCTGAGACACCATACATACATACATACATACGTACACCACAAAGTCACTCCAAGTCTTAATAAAACAAGGAAATACATCAGTTTTTATATTCTCACTAACATAACCAAATTCACTGGTAGAAACTAATGTTCATTTTTAATTAATTAGGTCACACACAGCAAAGAGACAGAACCGTCATGGTTGCCATCCGTGGAGATTTATTTCCATGAGTCCTCACGGATAAAAGTCTGAGGATGCTCAACTCAAATCCTTTATATGAAATAGAGTGTCTGCATATAATTTAAATGTGTCCTCATGCATACTTTCATCTCTCGGTGACTCCTAACACAGCACAATGTGATTGCTATGGAAATCGTCGTACTATACAGGGTAAGGGATCACAAGAATAAGAAGTCTACACCAGTTCATGACTTTAAGGTTTCCCTACCCTTGGTTGAATCCAGATACAGTACTCACAAACACGCAAGAGGCCAACTATATCCTTTCCCAGCTCACTGAGAACATAGTCCAAAGTAAAACGTAGTAAATACACAGGGCATTTGTAGGGAATCACAGCTCTTTGATGGCGTGAGACAGTCACGCCATCACCTCAGGATCTGGTCACTCAATAGCAGTTGCTATATTGTGGTCAAGAGTACTGACCACTTAAAAGTGACCTAAAATAATGGCCCTATATCACTAACATGGGACTTCAGTTGCGCCGGTCAACGGATGCCCAGGGATCACTGATATTCCTAAACACAAGCTTCACAGAAGGGTAAAGCCTGTGCCCCATGGATACTCCCTTCCTATCAGAATGGGAACATCAGATTCTAGCCAGTTCCTCTCGCTTTCTCAACCCACACCATCACTGGCAAAGAAACTGGGTGAAACTATCACTGCCCGACACGTGGTGGAGAAGCCTTCCATCGTGAAGTTTAGAAGACGGATCTGGGTCTTTGGCGCATTTAATTTGCTTTAGTGCATTTTCAAAAGCCTAGACATCATGATTATTTGAGCTCATCAGGCCCAGGACCAGAGTGATTTAGCACAGTAAATAGGAGCATACTGGACTTTGGCATCCCAATCCTGGTTACCACAGATGAGGAGGCAACTGGAAGGAGAAACCACTTCCATAAAATAAATACAAACAGACAGGGCATGCTAGAAGATACTACGGACTGGAGCTCAGGGCTTCCTGACACTTAAGTCATCCTGCCACTATGCGACCAGTCACACTCCTTGCTTCATTATAAAATTAAAAAAACGAGTGGGGGGACAGTCAGCTATTCACTGCGCTGCCATATTGTAAACAATACCTGATATGACTCAAGACAAGGGACAGTCAGCTATTCACTGCGCTGCCATATTGTAAACAGGCAATACCAGTTATGACCCAAGACGAATGAAACAATGTAGAAATCAATGTCTTTCTACACAGCCACCCATGCTGAGAGACACATGTGACTCTACACAGCTAATTTGTGGCTAGATAAAGGCTTGCGATTGGACAGCTTTGGCTGAAATGAAAGTCTAATCGACAGAATAGATGTTTTACAGACAAGCAGAAAGGAGGCAAGACTTTTGTTTCAGAATGGATCAAGCTGGATTAATCCAAGCAGGAAATAGCAGCGGAAACAAGAAAACCGAAGACAGATGCGAGGAGTCTCCCGGCTCTGAAAGCCAACCGGCATCTCCCGCTCCATGCCATCTGCTTTGGCTGGCAGCCTCGCCTGCTAGAAATTTCAGGGTTTGAGAAGCTGCTCTCAGAGCTCCTCCGTGTTGGTGTGAAGGGTGTTTACTTTTAAGCGGCTGCCTTCTTTGACTGCTTTTAAAAATAGGCAAATATTCTAAAAGCAGAGTGATGAATCACAGGATTGGGCCAAAAGGAAAGAAGGAAAGTGACTCAGGCGGGCTAGTAGCACAGCTGTCGCACAAACATTTGGCCAAATCGTTGTAAAACATTTCCACCACGATGATGGATCAGAGTCCCTGAGTGCTCAAGCTTATTGTGGCAATCCCAGAGGCACACAGCAGACTGTACTGTAGCTATACCAAGAGACCCCCCCTTGGCATATCTAACTGTTATCTTTTCCCCAATAGAGAGAGAAAGAACAGTTACTAGATACATTGATAATGGGACAAAATCCCCAAAGACTGAGTTTCATTATGACCTAACTGCCGGGTATTTACTGTCTACCGTGTGGACAGTAAGGAGTCAACCCAATGCTAGCTGGAAAACTGCTTTATCCTAGTTTTTACTGAACTGAGAAGATAATATCAAAGCAATCTGGACTTCACAGCCCAGACGAAGATGGGGGCGAACTGCAATGGTAGAATGTTCATCCGATAAGCACAAAGGCCTGTGGCCAACTCCCAGCACAACCTAACAGAAAGAGCAACCAAAGTCTGACCTAAGGGATTTCTTCTTTCTTTTGGAAAAAGGTTTTCAAACTTTTTTGTCTGTTTTGTGTATGGGTGTTTTAGCTACATGTATGTCTCTGTGGCACATGCATACCTGGTATCTGCAGAAGCCCAGAAGAGGACATCTGATCCCGAGATGGTCATTACAGACGGTTGTGAACCGCCATGTGGGTTCTGGGAATTGAACCCTGATCCTCTAGGAGAGCAGGCAGTGCTCTTAACCACTGAACCACCTCTCCATCAAGGTTAAAATACACAAAGCAAAGAGTCAGAAACGAGAGGAAAAACATTTAATACACAGATGTGCACTGCCTGTTTGGCAGTTGTGATGTGTCTAAGCCAACGTGGTCCTTAAGATAGAACTTTCCTGTTGGTATTCCAGCCACACTGACAGGACACAGCACATTTAAGATTGGGCTTATCTCAGCATCTACTGAGCAGCTGTTGGTTGGTTTCCAAGGGCATTCTTTTCAGATTCCCTTAAACCATTTTATCTATGTTTCTCCATGAAGCAGATAATGGAAATCTATCGAGTCTGTAAGCCAAGCCTCCATGTTATCTAGGAATTAGCTACTCCGTCTGAGTTGTGACAGAAGCTGAACTGAAGGGGCTGAGGGAGCATGTGGCCCGGTCCACTGAGAGTAGAGTAAGGGACAATCCAGAAAAGGAGGAGCTCTATAAAACACCAGGACTAGTGGCCTTGTGAGATGAGGTGTCTCCCAGCCCAGGGTTCCTTCCACAGCACCACTCTGAGGTTCACCTTCTGGCCAATGATTTCCCAGACTTGTAGTTCATAAACCCCAACAAATTCTCCTGAAATATTGGGAGTCATACCTTAGATTGCATGCAGGTTTTTATTTGGCTTGTGAAGGTAATTAGGAAACCATTACTGTACATTCTTTGTTTCCCTGTGCATCAGAGAGCAAGTTTTAATATAAAAATGAAATGAATCTTAGAATAAAGAGGTGGCCATCATATTGGTAAATTTTAGCTTTTCATGCTAAAGCAATATACTCTAAAACCCCATCGCTACATCTGGTTTTATTTTGTTTCAAGTGAGAGAGATAAAAGCTTAATCTGCAAACCAACATTTGAGAATTGCTATCTTAAATTGCTCTTGATAGGGCAATATTTTTACTGGACTTTGGTGTAGTGAGATAGTCCTTCTGTGGCACTGACCACGCCCATTGGGGGTGGAGCCATGGGTGGAAGTGACCTGTGGAAGGAGGTCGGAGGGAGAGCCGGGAAAAGCTCTCTTGCTGGCAGGAATCGGACAGGTGAGTATCTGGTGGAATTTGCTGGTGTTCATCTGTCTAGGCTGTAAATTATTTCTCCCTGAATAAACATCTAGTTGGCCTATTTGTTTTTCCTGATCCTTATTTAACAGCAATATCTGGTGTCAGAAATGGGATCAATACTTTGGGGTCAATTATTCCTGCACAGACACTGTTTTCACGACAGATATAACTGGAGTGTAGACCTTGGGTTTTTATACAGGGAGCCCAGAAGGAGACAATCCACATTTAGAAGACACTTCCAAGCCCATCCCACGCCCCATACAGAACACAAAGTGTCCTGTTCTGAATCCTCTGAAAAAACTCTATTTTGTGGGTGAGGACAATAGCCCAGTTCATACAGTACTTGGTGTATAGGCACAAGGGTCTAAGTTTGATGTCCAGAACCCATGTAAAGGGCTAAGCAGTGTGGCTCAAGCGTGTAACCCTGGTACCTGGAAATAAATGGACTTCAGTTTCAGTGAGAGACCCTGGCTAAAAGAATGAAGGGTGCATATGCATGCATATATATATATATATATATATATATATATATATATCTGTAC